TTGAAAGATAATGAATTTAACTCATGAATTGAGTAGCATATATGAATTGGATATGAATTAAAAGAAAATGGAATAAGATTGGTCTTAGTGGCATATGAATATGCAGGCCTTGGATTTAAGAGATTATGTAATAAAATCATATGGTTTTGACATGATATAATTTCATGTATATGTATAAGTATCTTTGTTCCCACATGTCTTTTAATGTTTTAATATGAGATTGTTCAGTGGGCTTTGCTCACCCCCTACTTGTACATGTGTACATGGAATGCTTTTCGGATTTGAAGATCAAACCATGGGTTTTACCATTTCATAAGTGTAATGTAGTGATGGATTGTACTACTTCACTTGTTGTTTGGCCGAGTGTTAGGCAATAACATGGATGGACTTTAGGGAAGCAAGAGCTTCTTAATTATGTTTTGTTGAGTGTATGTTGGTATTTGTAAAGCCAACGACTTAAGATGTAATGAGCGAGACTCAATTTGTGTAACCAAGCAATGACTTGAAAAGATGTAAGCCTACATGGCATTTAACTGGTTGTTAAACAGTATACTCTGATGTATGAAAGTATGTTATTTCTCATATTTATTCCGCATATGAGTTATCTTTATTGTATTATTTTGGGGGCGTTACACATGCCAAAGGCCATTAGTCCGTCATCACCAAAGTGTCTCAGCTCGGGAACTTAGGTACGAGAGGGGAAGGTCATGAATTGAGCACCCCACTCGCCCGATCAAAGATCGGCCTCTACTAATCATGAAGTGATTTTTATTTACATTATATGCTCTTGTTCCGATTATTAAATTAACTTTACTAGGTGATATACACAAGTATAGACTAATTTGTAAAAATTTGAACACTTGATTCATGTTTATTTTAAAAATTGTTTGAATATGTATCACTTGAAAAAGTGATTGCATATGAACATTACTCAAATTATTCCAATTCAAGCAATTAGCCTTTGTCCACATGCATTCAAGCAGTTATATCAATTAAGCGCTTAGCCACATGACAAGCATGCTACACATGGTAACAACTACACTCATGCGATATGCTAAAACAAATAAAAGCTCACCTAGTACTCCAAGCCAAAAAAGATGACATAGTTAGAAAGATGCATGATCCTAACTATATAATATGACTAATGCAACACATGCGATATGCAATTACTAGGCTCGGCTATGAATATGGCATATGATTCCATTCAAGACATGTGATGAATCACGTATTCAAGCAATGAATTCGAACATTGACATTGGGTTAGTATGATAAGCCAAACCTTGGATACATGCGAGACAATGGATGCAAAGCATAAAGATGCTAATTTGAAAAATGATGTTCTATACTAACCATCATACGCAAATAAGTAAAACAAAGAACGACGTGGGGTTGGAAGACATACAACTTATTACATGTTGGCCCTCGCATAAAAGGGTGCGAATCAAAGTCCAAAAGTCCAAATCAAACTAATTATTACAAAACCGAATGAATGAATAAATAACTAATTAGCTAAGTTATTACAACAAGGGCTAATAATGAATAATAAACTAGCTACCTAATTTAACTAGCTATAATAATTACAAATAAACCAGTACTACAACAATACTAATTACAACAAGAATAATTTACAACACTAATTACAACAATAATACGAACAATAATATTACAACATTTAATATGAACTAAAGATGCATGGTTTTTAGAAGCTGCTCTGTCTGCCTTCTGTGCAGTTGCTCTATTTCACCCTCAGCCACTGCCCTCTACTTCTACCAAAAATGCACTGCTTACCAAAATATTGGGGCCCCGCCGGCCCCCAATAAGACCCGGCCGGGTCCAAACAAGGTCATGCCCTAATTTCATGCAAAATCTATTTTTGTGCTCTGAAGTGAAATAGTGCAGACAGAGCAGCTTAAGCCCTGTTTATTCCCCCTACTCTTCTCTGTCATGTGGAACTTCAAGAGAAGAGTGGATTTGGTTCCAAAATCATCAACAAGCACATGTTGATGGCTTGATGATTTCGAACACAATTGGACAAAAAAAATTAATAAATGCAATGAAAGGTGACCACCCCTCCCTCTTATCATGAATTTAGCTCAAAGAGGAAGGCATAGATGCTTCAAGGTTCATCAAAACATCATGAATTGGCGTATGACGACCCTTGACATGATGGACTCGGCATAACGTCCGACTGAACCCAAGCAATACAACTCATTTTCTTTACGTTGGTTGGTTCGTTTTAAGCCAATTTTATTAATCCCTTTTTGATTTACCTTTCCGTTACTTAATTAATTTTTCCAATAATGAGAGTTATGTCCACTAAAAGGAGAGAAGATGCAAACGAGATGTTGTTTTCAACATTAGAGAGCGTATTGCCCTGATAATGAACCTCCAAAGAGATTAAATCATTTAACATTGTATGTATCTTTCTCATGTTTAAACAACATTCATTCGAAACAACTCTCAAAAAGAAAAGAAAAAACAATAAAGAATGAAGGTTGCAGAAATGATTATTCAAGATTGATTTACTACACAAGTGAGACTCTTTGCAGGGAATTAAGAAAGAAAGAGCTATCAACTCAAATGACTCGGTGTCTAAGGCCTAAAGAACCAAAGCCATGAGGACTTACAACACAACAATCATAATATTCAAAACATAAACTATTTAAGTAAATTAAAACAGCCCTAAAACAGCCTCTAAAGTGTAAAAAACAGTAGCTAAAACCAAGAGAAAGTAAGTAAAAAGAGTAGAGAAAAAGTTATGGAACAAATCTTAAGGAGGGGTGGCTAAGTCCTCCACTTTTTGCAATTTTAAATCACATATTTCAGCCCCAAAACAGTCCAAGAACAGTCCCAAAATAGCCCAAAAACAGTGGCTAAAAGTGTGTTTAAAGAGCACAAAAAGATGGACAAAAGTAAGAGATATAAAACTAGTAAGCAAAATCAAGGAAAGGTGGCTAACCCATCCACTTTTAAGACTTTTAAACCATGTTTTCCAGCCTTTTTAAGCTTTGAAAATCAGTATGAAAATCAAAGAAAAGAGTGCAAAAACAAAGGGTATGAGCTACGAGATAAGGTGCAAAAAAGGGTGTTAAGCCTCTCTACCTTTGGTAGCTCTTCAACCCCAAGTTCCAACACTTGAAATAGGTCCAAAACAATAGGGAAACACAAGAAAAAAGATAGAAAAAGATTGAAATGAAAGCAAAGAAAAAAGTGACAAGCTTATACCTCCTGAAGAAAGCAAGCTTTGGTTGTTGATCAAACTTGATTCCAAACACCCTCAAGTTTATGAAATATGGTTTGAAACTCTAGCAAAAAGCTTCAAGAACAAGCTCTAATAGTGTATGTATAGCTAAAGAAGGTTTGAGGGTCAAAGAAGGACGAAAAATGGAAGGAAGCCTATTTAGCTCTTCAAAGCTTTTGAAAATTTTACTAATCTTGAATTTTGAAGGAAGAGGTCCTATTTATAGAATTTGAGGTAATTTGGTTGAAAATATCTTCAAATAAAGATATTTGTTCAAATTCCGCCAGCTGTCTGTTTGGCGCCATTGAGACCCGGTCGGGCCTCAAAACCCATGGCCGGACCCAAAAACACACTGTCGGGCCTAAAAAGCAAGTCTGGAAAAGTTTTCATTAAGACCCAGTTGGGCCTAAATGAGGCACAGTCGGTTCTAAATGGACCTGGCTGGGTCCAAAAATCTACATTTCAGGCCCGACTTCAAACGAGCATATCTCCCTCATTCAGACTCGTTTTTAGGTGATTCTTGAGTCTAAATTCAAGCCCCGGAAGTATAATTTCCAATGGTGGTGGCCTCACATCTAAATTCTAAGTGGTCAGAGAGATATGCCTAATTTAGTGAAGGCTACTTATTCTTTTTCAACGGTTTGATGCTCAACTCCTTCGCCAACTAATTTTCTTCCCTCCCCTCCTATTTCCTTCAACTCCAAACCTATAAATAATATGTTTTAAGTATTATTCAAAGAGTTCACCTCCCTTCCATGTATCTCCACTTTGTCTTTACTTGGTTTACCGAAAAGTGTAATATTTTAATTGAAATGTGAACTTTGGAACATCGTGGAAATATTTGGAAAATTATTTTGAAAAAAAGGGTTTTAAGGTTTAAAATATTTTGCAAAAATGGGATGCAAGGTTTGGGATTAGTGCTTGAATTCAAATTTTTTCGTTGAGAATTCAAAAGATTACACAGTATAACTTTCATCATCGAGTTTTTGAAATAAAGCGCCCAAATCTTAAGGGCGATCAAAAGTGGGGTGTCTACACATGGCTGCAATTTCAAAAACATATTTCCAGATAAGTGGCTGATGAGAAAACCACAAAATCAGTTAACTGAATATGCACAAAAAATCAACATGAAAATGGTTTTGGAATTCCAATGTTGACATTGCCCACTTCCTAACCATCATAGAGCCATGCCAATCTTCCAAAACACAGTTCTAGAGAAACCATCAAAGAACCATTTGGTAGGAGTAGGAATGGCAACAGGGCAGGGTGGGGCGGGGCGTGGCCAGGGACTACACTCCCCGTCCCCGTTCCCGATCCCCAGCGGGGGCCCATCGCCCCCGCCCCCGATCAGGGATCGGGTTTCCCCGACCCCGAAATATCCCCGATCTCTTTTTTTTTTTTGAATTTTGAATTTTGTTCAACACAGCACAAGAACAAAAAAAAAATTTAATTTGTTTTCATCATCATCATCATCATCATCATCATCAACAATCTGAATCAACAACAATCATCAACTTAAAAGAAAAAAAAAATTGAAATTGAAGAGAATCACTTCATTTGTTTTCATCATCATCATCAACAAAAAAATCTGAAATCTGGAAAAAAAAAAATTTAATCTGTTTTCATCATCATCATCAACAATTTGAAATCTGCAAAAATAGATCATATATATATATATATATATATATATATATATTTAAAATAAATAAATTTAGAGAAAAAAAACAAAAAACAACAACAAAAACAAAAAACTCAAGGTTGTCACTAGACTAGACCAATCCCTTCATCTTTAGTTTTAGTTCAAAAAATATATAAGTTTCCTCTATGAAAAAGATTTCAAATGAAAAAAAATAAAAACAAAATAACATGTCTATAAAATTGAAGAACCAATTGAAAATCTTGTCTGGTTGAATTGAATCTTTTAACTTTATTAGTTGATAATTTTATTACATAATTACAAATAACTCTCCCATTTGAAAATTGTCATTATGTTAGAAACATTTTATTCAATCAATACTTTGTGGGTGCAATGTATTTACAATTAGCTTCCCAATGAGGATTTGGATTCAATTGTTCCTAATTAATGCAGAGGCATGTCATCCTCTAGTAACTATTATTCTAGTGGTGAGAGCTTTGACTTGAGGTATGAGGCTTTGAAATCTGATTGTGGGCTAAGAGCTGCCATAAGGGTTATCGAGTCTGACAAGCCATCTAAAGGGAGACTGTATTTCATTTGTGAGAAGAAAAATTGTCAATTTTGGAGGTAGTGTACCCCAAAATCTGTGACGTTGGTAGAGAGGCTGAGGAACGAGAGAATGCTTGATCAAAATCAAAATATGGAGACTGTAGGACTAAAAGTGAAGAACCAAATGCTTGAGCAATCCAATGCTTTCATGAAACAATTTGTTGTGGGTCTGCTCAGGATTTGTATTGTTATGTCAGTTGCATTACTCTTCAAATGATGATAGGTGCCGTTTAGAGATACCCGGTGTTTTTGTGCTAATGTAGATACCATGAACTATTGTACTAAGCTTTGTACCTAATGAATGTTGACGTAGTTGCCATGCATGGTTCTTTTGTACTAATCTAGCTGTTGTAATGCAAGCACTGATGAATGAGTTTGTTTTAAATTTTTTTTTTCTTTCATAGAATGAGTACCCAAGAGGAAACATAATCTGAAAATAGGAAGAACAAGGGAAAATCAAGTCAAGTACCATCCGTTAAAGCTCATTGGGATGCAAAATCAAATGAAATTTTTATTAAGCTTTGTGTTGAGCAAGTGAAGGTTGGACATAGACCTGGTACATACTTAGATAGGGACGGGTGGAAAATGTGCTAACTAAGTTTAAAAGTATGACTGGAAAAGCATACCAACGAATACAAATGAAAAATCATTGGGATGTGTTGAAAAAAGATTGGCTCTTATGGAATACTCTGTTAAGGGGTGAGACAGGCTTAGGCCGTGATACATTGACTAGAGCTATATCTGCATCTGATGAGTGGTGGACCAAGAAATTAGAGGTACGTGAATTGCTTAATGTACATATTTTGTTTACTTTATCTCAATTAAATACACCAAATTTTGTTACTTGAAAATTGTTAAATTGTCCTTTGTAATTGTTGCAGAGGTATCCTGATGCTGCTAAATTCCGGTGTATGCCATTGCAATTCACTGAAGGCTTAGACATACTATTCTCAGATACAGCTGCTGTCACGACCCAACTCCAGGGACTTACGATTGGAATCGCAACTAACTAACTTATTCTATTCGTAGCAAATTAAACTGCGCAAACGGAAATAAAAATAATTAAACAAGAAATTACTCCATTTTACTATTTTAATAAGAGAAAATGCATCTAGAGGGCTTTTATTATTTTATTATTCAGTGACCGGCCCCGAGTAGAATAAAAAAGGAGCAAAAAAATATTAAAAAAAAAAAGAAAAGAAAAGAAAGACAAAATAGTGGTTCAACATCAATCCTCGTGCGGGTTCCATTATGTGAGGTTAAGGGTTTCCCCTACATCTCGTCACCTAAAAAAGTAACAGCTATAAGTACACAGCAGAGTGAGAAATATTATGCCAAGAGTATAGGGAATACAAAATAACCATGGATGGTTAGTTAGGCCAAAACATTTACATAACTCAATTTGGTGAATAAATCATTTAAGTGGCAGAAACTAAAATACAGAAATTATATAAATAAATAACCATAACCATGGTACAGAACAGAGCAGAACAGAGGTAACAGAAGTGATAGTCGGAACAGAGGCCAATGAATCCATGACAAACAGAGGACCACAAAGTGGCCAAACAGAGGCCAATGGTTATTTAAATCCCCTAAGGCGTGGGACTCCCGTGGTGGTACTTAAAAACATAATTGATTATAGGGTCACTGTCAAATATTCTTTAAAATTTAAACCAACATATCCATGGGTTTCATTTTAACAAATAGAGTTCAGAAATTAATCCACGTAACTGAAATATTAATATAATTTATAAAAAATAACTTGTATTAATATAACTCATAAAATTTAACTTGTATAAAATAAATTATGGTAAGTCAAAACAAACGTAAAATATATTATGGTATCTCAAGGTATAATATAACTCACCTTAATATTGACCCTTAGCCTTACTCCACTATCGCAACCTTCCTACTATAAGTTCCTACTTCCAGCAACTTACGTGTCTCTCCCTCTCTCTTTTTTTTTTCCTTTTCTTTCCACAAAGTTTGATCAACTCATTCCTATTTATAGGGAGGTAAAAGCCTTCTGAGTCCAACACATGGCAGCTCAAATCCCTTCCCAGATTTTGATCATAAATCACATGGATTTATACTTATCTTAATAAATATTTAAGATAATTACACTTTGGCCCAATTTTCTAATATAACTATATAAATAAATTAATCCCTAATTAAATTACACTCTATCGTATACCAACAAAAAATTAATTATTTATTTTACTACTACACCTATTATTATTATTATTATTATTATTATTATTATTATTTATTTACTCTTACTTTTATATTTATTTATTTATTTACTATCTTTAACTTTAATTTGGCCAACTAGTATTATAATTCCATATTTCTGTTAATTTGGCCCTAAATAATAATCCCTAATTAATCTCATATTTGATAGTTCAATAGCAAATTAGATTCTGTATTTATTATTATTTATTTAATAATATATTATCACATACACTCACAATTATATATAACTATAAATATTTATGTGATATTTAATTAAACGTTCAGGGTGTCACAGCTGCTACAGGAGAATAGGCATGCACTCCTAGCTCAAGGGTAATGTCTCACACTGATGAGACTCCAGAGGAATTTCATACCCCACATGATGCTAAATTTCATGATGATGCTGATTTGGAAGTGGTTCATCCTTCCAAGTTAAACAAAAAATGGTCGTCAAACACTGATGGTTCATCAACCAAGAGCATGACAAAGAAGAAATTTACTAGTGCAGCTCTACTTAACAAGAAATTCTTTCCAGTATTTCGAATGGCTCGATGTAACATGGGTTTAGCTTTCCTCGTTTTCCAAATCGAATAACTCCTCTTGCTGGTGAGATCTTGAGAAACACATGATCCCCTATTTGAAATTCCAAGTCCCGTCTCCGTGTATCTGCATAGCTTTTCTGGCGGCTCTGAGCAGTGTGAATTCGTTGTTGGATGAGTTGGATTTTCTCACTTGTGACTTGCACGATCTCGGGGCCTAATAGTTTCCTGTCTCCAACTTTCGCCCAACACAGAGGTGATCGATACCACCTTCCATACAGAGCTTCATACGGTGCCATTCCAATACTTGCTTAGTAGCTATTGTTATAGGCGAATTCCACTAAAAGTAAGTGCTCATCCCAGTTACCTTTGAGGTCCAACATGCACACATGTAACATGTCTTCCAACGTCTGGATTGTTCTTTCAGATTGTCCATTAGTTTGTGGATGATAAGCAGTGCCAAACTTCAGTGTGGTTCCCAAAGCTTTTTGCAATTTGTTCCAGAAGTGAGACACTGTCACGACCCAAACCCACCCCTATGGGTTTAGCACCGTAACCGGCCAGTAATCCGTGATTACCGAAGGCCTGCTTAACAGTAATGACAATAATACAGAGTAAAGGGGCTAGCAGAAGCCAAAATAGTAAATAAAAGGTGCCAATGAGCTGTGATAATCTGAATGCAAAAAGACTTTTATGAACAAGTCACATTCGTAACCAAAACACATTTACATATCGGACATACATACATACAAGTTAGGGATTCAATCCCTATGCCATAACTGTACAGTAGGAGTCTATAACATCTATTACAAAACAAAAACAAAAGGGTGAATCCAAACACCCCAAAACAGCCGTAGCTTGAACAGACTTGAAACTCCGAGGTGAGGCACGGTGGTTGGCTTGACAAAACAAGAGCTAATCCGACGCTCCTAGTTCCGTTCCGGTGCCTAGACACCTACATATATATATATATATATATATATAAACAGTGAGCCAAAGCCCAGTGAATAATAGTTATGTAAAGAGGTTAAGAATGAATGTCCTTTCAGTAATTAAACAGTCATATCAGTCACTTAGAAACCATAGCAGTCATATGTGATGCATCCCATAGCAAAACAGTACAATAGGTCTTAACAGACCAAACAGTCAGTCGATGGCCATCATAACAGTAACAGTAGTGGTTCCAAACATGGGAACTGACAGAGATCTCTGTGTCAGTAGCGATAACAGTACAGTAACAGTAAATTGCTATGTATGCCATGAATACAGTTTATAAATAGGACAAACATTCATTCATTAAACAATAACGTTTCAGTAAGCAGAACAGTTGATCATTCAGAAAATAATCATAATTGAACATATCTTTACGGCATTGTTACTCACAGAGCACTGGGCTACAGGCAAGCTAAAGAGTGTCCTCGGATGCCAACCCTACACAATTACAAAATGAACACACACTAAGTTACGCACTAGGGAATCAATAAGTTAGCCCCTTATCTAGACTTGGTGTGGTTCTATAACATTATCCTCATTAAGATGCCTTAAACTTGGCCTAGGAATGCCTATGATGGAAGGATGCAAAAATGCACTTTAAAACACTTTTCAAATTTTTGCTGAAACAGGGATCTCGCTCGAGCATGGCTTTCTACGCTCGAGCGGACATGCAGACAAAAGAGCTCCGCTCGAGCGTGACTTCCCTTACTCAAGCGGACTGTAAACTCATGAAAAAAGTACTAGATGCACGATTTTCACGCTCGACGAACGCTCGACCTCCGCTCGAGCGTGAGACTCAGATCCTCACTCGAGCGTGAATTCTCTCCCTCGAGCGGACTGCAAAACATATGAACTTCTGGGCATATGCATTTCACGCTCGAGCGTGACTTCCTACGTTCGAGCGGAAGTGCATGTACTCGGAGTGTACGCTCGAGCGTGAAGTCCTCCGCTCGAGCGTGGATCCAAAATCTGGAATTTTCAGTTTGATCCCTAACCACAAAACTCAACTTTTAAAGCTTTAAACTAGATCCTTTTGGGCTAATTTTCTGGAAAACACTTGAAAACCCATAATACAACATGTTTCAAAGATCAATTTGTAAAATAAAGGTAAGTCAATTAAACACAAATTCAAAGGAAACTTGAAGAACAATGCAAGAACATCACATGCAAGTGTTCTAATGGATTCCAATGTTCCAAAACATAACCAAATGCAAGTTTGAACTCCAAAACATGATGAATTCATGGACTACAACCCAAATGTAGACATGCATGTGGAAATTCTTATGAAAACAACCTCAAAATGTTAGAGTATGTGCATGCATGCATGGATTAGCTACTCAAATCAACTCTTAAATTAATTCTCGACATTAATCTCCAAATTTCCATGAATCATGCAAGAAACAACTTAAATACATAAACCAAAGGATGAATTCCCTACCTTAGGTCTTGAATTCAAAGTATACAAGCTCAATTTTGCAAAATCCCTTCAATTCCTTCCAACTCTCCAAGTTAATCTCTTGTTGAAACCAATTCTCCTATCTCACTCTCTCTCACGGTTTGCTTCAAAAAAATGGGTGAAGAATGGTGTGTCAAGTGTGTAAGCAATGGGGATTAAACAATAGTTCTTGAGGGAGTCCACTAAAGGGCAAAAATATAATAACTCAAACTAATGAAATTTACCCTTATTTAATCTAATTTAATCATTCCAAATTGAATTTTAATTAAACCTACCATAAAATCACATAAATTCTAATTAGCATAAAACACTAATCAATTCCGGAATCGGTCGCCGATAAGACCTTCAATTCGCAATTCAAAATTAAAACATGAACAGATCATTTGATGACTAACAGATAGAAATGCAATTAAACAACATACTCATGCATTCAGTTCAGAATTTCAATCTGATCAGTTACTTATCATGCTTAACCAGAGATTAGCACTAATCAGAGGTGAAGGTTGTCACAGTCTTCCCTCCTTAAAAGAGTTTGGTCCCCCAAACTCGAATTACCTTCATTTTGGAAGAACACTGGATTCAGGGGGAACAATTCAAGATATCTTTTCATCATATCGTCTTCCCTTTCCCAAGTGGCATAAATGCCACCATGGTTTTTCCAGTCAACTTTCACTAATGAAATTTCTTTGTTCCTCAACTTCTTGATCCGTCGGTTTACAATCTGAATAGGCCGTTCTTCATAGGTGTAGTCATCACTTAGTACTACACGAGT